GGTCGAAATAGAAGTGACCAAAGAGAAATCGGCCACAGTCATTGAATCACCGGCTGTCCAAATAGATTTTTTCAGCACATTTTCTAAAAACTCGAGAGATTCTTGTATTTTATCCTTTGTTTCTTCGATTAGCTCTATTGTATAGTAAATATGCGGGTTCTGTAAAATGAAAAAAAATTTTCAAATTTAAATGGTGTTTCCACAGAAAATATATGCATGCATAATAATAAAAATCACAAGGTTTTTTTTCTATTTATTATTGGGAGTTTTTGAGAAATTTGTGTTAAGGATACCTATATAATGGTTTTTTCAACATGTCGTCCATTACTAAATTGCTAAAAATGAAATGACTCATTTTTTTTTTGTTAAAACAATTACTTAATATAGGCCTCAACATCTGGTATGGAATTGTGGAAAACTATTGCTTCAATCTTACTTTAACTTATCTTTCATAGACGATTTTTATTTAATTTTACCACTGGTCCTCCACTTTTCTGGTCATCGTATTATAACAACAAGTCTAAACGAATATTACAGCATAATATAATGATACGTGGTTACAGTAGTCAGTTGATTATACTATATCATATAGATACCATGTTAAACTTTTAATAATATTGGTAGGAATGTTAATATTCAGTGCGTTTGCTAAAAATATGCAAGGTAGGTCCTGATGCCTATCTGATACAAGTGTTTAAAAACACCAATTGTGTCATTGCGTCAAACAACAGCGATAAATTAATAACCAATGCTAATTAATCGTTATAAATTTATAATACAAATAATAATAATAATAATAATGTGAATATTCACGTATTGATTTTTAAAAGCCGGATACAAGGTGTCGCTGTCAAAATACAGTATTTGGTTGACCTGCGCTTGAATTTTCGGGTCATTGGGGGTACAGCGGATTATCGTCTTCTCCGCCGTATTTTCGAACCAAGTATACGATGATTGCATGACTGAAACGAAAACGTCAATTATTAAAAAAAGTATGATTATGGTTAAGTCGTATAGCCTGGGTGTTGCCTTACAGTTTACACAAACGACGACTCGATCCTTGCAATAGCCTACCACTCTTAAATTGTGCATCCTCGACTCCGTCGACCTACTCCACTTTTAAGTATTGTAAACTCCCGTTAAATGGGGGGAGATAGCGTCATGGGTGTTTGTGGTCAGGTAGTTGGGCCGTGGTAGAGAAATTGCCCGCCTAGCGAGAGACCCAAATTGGATTCCGGGTCTGGGTAGATTTTTGACGAATTCCCCAGAAGAAGTTAACAGTATTATCTTCTGTAGTAGTATTCACCTATTCTTAATAGTCCGAAATAAATGATTTAAACAAGAACCTGCGATCAAACACAGCCTCTGTTCTCTTTCTTAACTCCGAAAACCTGGTTTCTCACCTACATGGCAAGAAATTACCAATCTCTAAGTTGTTTTATTTATAATTATTCATTTTTAATCTACTTCAAAAATCTTTGTTGTGTCGATTTGTCTTTTATCTACATCTAACGATCTCTCCTATAGAGTCAGCCCCGTTCATATTCCAGCAATATTTCTCTATAATTGTAGATTTATTTTAAGCGCTGTTCTAACCAAAATATTTAATTTATCACTTGAATTAATTTATCACATATTAGAGATTGGTAATCTATCTTTGATCACAAACTATAAAAAAAAAATATTTATGTTCTTCATTCCTTAACAATAACCAATTTGATTTTATCCCCGAGTGCCCTAAATAGAATTAACAATGAAATTGTGTTTAATAAACTACTAGTAATTTGGTTTTTTTGGCTCTTTGTTGTCGTGATTCCTTGATTTCTGATTTAATAGTGTTATATTAATTAAGAACCGATATTATTATGTATCCGACCAGTCTGATAATATAAATCATTGCAAATTGACGTCCCCAATTGCGTTTATGTCAAATAACAAACGTCCTCCGTCGTCCAATTAAAAATCGCCCAAACCGGGTGGTAAAAAATCCAAAACTTTCAGTTCTCCATAATATACATAATATAGATTGTGTAACTTATATGTTATCGTTCCATCAGACAGAAGAACTTATATTAATATTATTACCTATTTTACTTAGCGCGATCCAGTATAACAAAAATAATTTTATGTATGATGAATATTTTGTGTATTATATTTTGGTACAACTCGTATAGTTAACTAATAAATGTTATGACTTTAACTCACCTCTCCGCCAAAACAAAGTCACCGTCCTGTATTACCGGTAGCGTGACCAGAGAATTTTTCTGTAAAATAACAACGATTGTATTGAACATCGTATAGTGCAGGTGGTAAACCAATATAATAAGACAACTTTTTTTCGAAAACTTACTTTGAGGAAATCTTTTGTAAGTTGTTTATTATTTGAGAAACTTGTGTTTATGAAGTTAATTTCCAAATTCAAAGCTTCGAGGGTCAACAAAACGGATCTGCATTGTGGGCTGATATTATCGTAGTATAAGTCGATATCCTTTCTACAATTAAATTTTAAAAACTTACTTTTTTAACAATATTGGAATATTTTGTAAGTACTTAAAAATTATAAAAAAAAACAAACAAAATGTGTAAAACTTACTTTAGTAAGTCAAGTACTTGAAAATTACTTTTCAGCAAATCACACTCTGGTGGTCTTCAGTACGATGAGATTATATTACGTATACTACTATAGGTACTAGTATAATAATACGTCGTAAGAATTACAATATCATAAAAACATAAATAGTTATGTAACTAATCATAATTATATACGAACAATAATCATTATTTGTTTCCTTTTTAGATCTTTACCCATAGCATTATTATAATAACTTCTACTACAGGTTTAGACGAATTTCAGGAAGATTCAATCAGTTTAATAATTTTATGACAAGCCAAATAAGTCGGCGACGTTTTAACTACTTACTTACGGAATTATGCGATATGTGATACCATTGATTAAAAACAATCAACGGTGTTACCTTTAATACCATAATAATAATGCAAATATAATCTGTATATACATATAAATATGGAGCGTGAAAAATGTATGTTAACTGATAAATCGAGAACGGCATGTCCGATTTGTCTCAATTTTTTTTTAAGATGTTCGTAATTACCATTAGAAGGTTTTTGCTAAAGGAAATTTTAGGAAAATCCACCTAACAACTTTTCAGAAAAAAAATAAAAAATAAAAGTGCATTGCATATGGGTTGCTATTGGTTACAGACATGTCTGTTGATTTTTAGGTACATATCTGTTAGTTATTATTTTTTGTCAATATATATATATATATATATTATATAAATTAATGTTTGTATGTAGATTAGACCTATGGGAAGAAGATAGGCTAATTGAAAAATGGTTAAATTTGGTTTTTTTTATTCGTCTGATTTTAGTATGGTTAGGTTCGGTTGTAATAATTGATTGTACTAATCCACCGTAGGTGGAATACTACAAACTTGGTATAACTTTGATACTTTAAAGTTAAATCATACACTTACGTACAAACAGCACGGGGCTCCTAGATCTACCGAAGGTAAATTGCCTTCCTGATAATATACGACTATTGCGAATCAAAGTTTTTATTCCGGGCAACGGAAAAGTTAAGATAAATTTTGAATCAGATAAATGTGTATCGTTATTTAGAATATTAATATGTAATAGACATAATATTTTTATAAAGCTTCCGTAAAAATGTTTTATGAAAATAATATATGGTTAAAAATTTAAAATATTTAGTAAATGTTTTTTATAAAATATTTTCAAATATTTGAACTTTTGGGCCAAAGAATATAACTAAAGTATTTCCTAATTATTTACGCAAATTTTTAAAATATTTTGACAACTAGGTATATTATTTTTCTGAAAATATTTTTAAAATAGTTATGAAATGTTTTTATGCTGTATGGGTGTTTATCGCTTAGTTCAGTATAAAGTTAAAACTTTTATGACATTGGAAATATGATACAATATTCCTTTTAAGTTTGTCAAGTTTTGTTCAATAAAGATAATCTTACCGGAAAGAGAGATTAATTTTTTATAAGCATTTTAAATTCAAATTGTAATGATGGATATCGAACCATAAAACAAAGATTTTCGATGTTTCGTTGTAGTCAAAAGGTGACAATATTACTAACTATATAATAGGTAATTCGAATAATTGAACCAAATGATTATTTTATAATTGTTTGTATCTTATAAATGTATAATTTTAAATTTGAAAATTTTTTTTCCACAACTATTTATAAAACAATTTCCACAGTGCCTTCAAGCTTAAACGTTTATGCATGGTTCCTCGTAAGTTTTGAAATAACCAAAATACATATCCACGTGCTATATGTTATATTCTGAGCCGAGCGAGGAAGCTAGCGGTTTTACAATGGTGTTTTTTTTCCTGCTACAAAATGTCTACCAGAAGGAGTGCTTCGATTTCAACATATAAATATTGTAGAATGAAAACAATTAGGAATTTTGGTAAAAATAGTTTTTGATTGCTTCGCTCCGTTCGGTTCTCATCGTCGTTTTAAAATGACGCGTGACGTCACAGGTTCCATCGGTCGGCCGCCCGCCTATTGCAATACACGTATTTCTTCGACGCATCGTTAGTCATTTATTTATAATATATTAACTTATAATACTCATAATGAAAAGCGGTTTTCATATTACAAAACCTTAGATATTTTCCTACAACCTGATACTATCATCCTATTGAAATAATAAATATTAAACGTAGAAAACGTAGAAAACGTATATCTTATCCATAATTTATACATATTTTCGTTTGTTCATACTTCATAGTATTATACATATTATACCAACACAAACAATAACAATACAATCGCAGTTTATGGGTTTTCCTAAATACAACAGCAGACTACGTTTCGACTAAATTCGTTTTATTTTGTTATCTGTAATCATTAATCAATAGTATTACAATTTGTTACATATTATTAGGCACTTTGTGTCTTCGCATTCATTATCTTACGTCAAACGTGCGTTCTAAAATGTCTTTAAAACCATATAGTTTTGAGCCAAATGTTAGTGACATTGATAGTTTTGAACCAAATTATTCTGTATCTTTATGTTTACCAAATGTTCAGGGAAGAGCCCAAGTAGAAGTAAATGAGTGGTGTAATTGTGAAAATTGTGCAAAAATGTCGAACGATTTAGAATGCATGTGTTGTTCAGAATTTGATAACGTAAAACAATAATTATTGGATTCAAAAAAATGTGTTACTGCTACTGCTTCCTTTGAAAAAATTATTTTAGATGAAGAAATATTGAATATTACTCGCCAACAGATGATTATGAAAACTAAAAATAAATTGAAGAAAAAGCAGTTGAGCGCGTTAGAAGTACCGAATAAAACATGGAGATATATTTGTTATGTTCAGTTTACTCATTGGGTTAATTCATGGACTTCATTGGGAAAAGGTATATTTAAATTAAAATGTACCTATACATACAAAAATATACTAACTAAATTATATATTATAGCCTATTGTAGGGTAGGTAGTTACATTTAGTACAATTACTAAGTTTAAATATTTTTAGGAGTCAGAGTTGTCATTCCTGCATGTGTCATAAACAAAATAAGAAATAAGTACCCGGAAAAAGATGGACTGTATGTTGGTTTCAAAAAATCAAATACATATTTACCCTCGTAATTGTATATATTTATTGTAATTTTTTTTATTATTTTCAATAAAATATAATCATTCTAAGTACAATAAATTCTAATTCAACCTTAAAAATTATATATGGTTAATAATTATGATAATAATAATAATAATAATAGTTAATAATAATTAATAATAATAATATTTAATTAATAATTTCATGATTTAAATAAAAAGGTCAAAATCATCAGTAATTTATTTTTATGACACTTTTTTATTTTTGAAACCTTGAATACTTTTTCAATCTCATTTCATCAACATTTGGCTTTGGTATTGAAACTATATTGGTCGGAATTCGCAAATTGTCATCGATTGTACTTGTTTCTGTATTTAAATTATTAACTGTTCTTGCATTAATTTTGATATTTTCAATTATAATTTGTCGCCAATTGTTTGATGGATTTTTGTAACGATTTTTTAATGTGTAACGGCCGATTGGCTTTGAAAAAACCAATTTATCTCCTATGAGTGTTTTGTTTACATTATAATAAATTGTGATCGAGAATGGCAATTATCGAACGTAAATACATTCCATTAAACTTGAGATGTATTCTTTTGGGCATATATTTCAAGCGAACGTTATGGTAGGACTCCAAGCGACCAGTATGTACAAAATGTTTTGCGTGTTGTAAATCTTTTAACAAATCTTTAGCCATAATAATTTTTTTTTAACGCAAAGTAAGACTCACTATTAGGATATATCCAAAGCTTTTTTTTTAAGTCTTCATCGTTTAACTTTTCGTGTTCACATTTTTTTGTTTTGCCATTATCTTCCCATTCGTGCACATTACTAATGTGGTTAAGAACTGAAGTGAATTTTTCAACGAGTAATGATCTGTCACCGTTACAAGTTTGAGAGGACCACCATAAATGGTTATTTATGCTCGTTTTCCATAAATATGCATCTGGATATTTTTTGTCAAGTCCTTTCAATCTTTTCGACAAACTCTTAGACAAATGCCATACATCAAATTCATGTTCAATTTGAGGATATTTTGTACGTAAAAAATATCGAATACCTCTATGTCGATCCGTTAGAAATAGTTCTATATTACAATTTTCTTCTTCAATTAATTTAACGATTAACGATTCGCAAGCTTTTCGCTCCAAATCCCCAGAACCCATACCTTTTTGGACTAAATTAAAATCAATTATTTTACTGCTATGTAAGTCCATTACTGAGTAAGTGCAATATTTTGCGCAGAAACCCGGGGAATCAAATTGCCCATCTCCGGCCAACCAAATATTTTTTTCAGAATTTTTAATTTCATTTAAATTGTCTTTTCGGTGTTCACGCCACATATCATTAATAACTGGGCCTGTATGTAATTTAGTAATTAAGTCGTATGTTGTACGTGAAAAAAAAAGCTATATTTATTGATCGACAAAAAACTGACATTTGAGCAAATAAAATTCCCGAAAGCGTTAAAGCAGCTCCAATTACAATATTCCCTTCTGGGCGTTTTCCAGTCTTTTTTTGAGAAGTCCATTGAACAGTATGGCCCTCTTCGCAAACTGTAGTAACAGACAAAAAGGTTCCTTGGATATAATGTTTCATAGATATATTTCTTGTTGAACATTCTTGACAGTGTTTTAACAAACATAAAATATTTTCCCAAAAAATTATAAAACAAGCATCGTCGTCAATGTTTGGTTTTGAAATTAAATCATTATCGTCAACACATGAATCAATATCATCTTCATCACTTTCTTCTTCACTGATATCTTCATGTAATTCAAATGACAATTCGTTATTAGTCTTTAATACATATTGAGCAACACTTTCGCTACCTAAATCACATTGGACACCAATATCATTAACATTATTTTCATGTTCTTGAATAAAATCTATAGAATTGTAACTTAAGTCAAAAGAATGTTCATTTTGCGATTCCAAAATGTTTAGTTCATCTTTAGATTTTTTGACTGGTGTGCTTGATTTGAATGAAGTTGATGTGAATTGATTTTCTCTTTTTCTATTCTGTCTTTCACATCTACTTGTAGATTGTAAGGTAAGAGTAGGGTCGTCAGATTTTGTTTTGTAAATGGTAGGGAAAACATTAGATTTTAATCTGATCACTATCTTTGTGTCTGGCATAAGTTGCTCACGTAATATATCAGACTCGTTGAAATCATCACTTTTAAAATGAGACGAACAAATTCTATTGTTTTTTCCTGGTATAAAATTTTTACGTTTACAAAAATTTACCCATACCTTATATCTTTGTGGAGATTTTTCGCGCTTTGGAAACCTATAAAAATGAATTGTTTCTTTGTGGCTATAACACGTACAACCGAAAACTGAACACAACATTTTAAGTTTAACAATAATTATTATAAAAAGAAAAACGAAAACGAACTATATAATAATTTTCTGCTGTCGAATACGGGTTACACTACGAAGTAAATCGACGACTGATGTCTGATAAATGATAATGAACCGAAAAATATATTTATAAAAATTGTATTGGTGTACGCCGTACGGACAATACAAGTTTATTATAAAATAATAATAACTAAGATAAGGTGGCAGTCAAAACATTGGAAAGTGGTAGATATTATTTAACATGACGGGCTGGTGAAATAATTGTAAAATAGAAACAAACGAAAAAACGTATAAATTAAATGTTTTTTATCTTTAATAGTATAATATTTATTATTTCAATAGGATGTTAGACTCATGTTGTAGGAATATATCTAAGGTTTTGTAATATGAAAACGGCTTTTCATTATGAGTATTATATGTTAATATACAAATAAATGAATAAAGACGCGTCGAGGAAATGCGTGTATTGAAATAGGCGGGCGGCCGACCGATGGAACCTGTGACGTCACGCGTCATTTTAAAACGACGATAACGATTAAACGGAGTGACGGATAATATTTTTAACGGCACCCAATTTTTAATTATACCAAATACTAAAGATTTAGCTCTTATCTATTTTTTCCTTAAATGGTCCTTTAACTTTTAGCAAAGTAATAATTTTTTTACATCGGATTTTCACCAAATCATTCCATACAGCGATAGCTACAATAATTTAACATTTAAAAAAATGTAAAGAAATTTTTTTTTGTGTTTCGTGCTGCCTTAAGAATAATCGTAGAACTGTAGAAGTGCATGTTACGGGTTACACAGAAAAAGGAATAATCGGTACCTACTATTATTATAGTAGTGAAAATGTTAAAACGCTAGCCACATGAGTCAATGCGATCCGAGGTTTTGCCACCCTTGTAATATCTAAGATGACTGATTCTATAATAGTTGAGAAATTTAAATAGAATATTTAAAAAAAAAACACGGGAGACGGGACAAAAGGTGATTCATTGAACGTTAATTAAACATTCCTATTTGTCATTTTTTCCTCAATACATAAGGTACCTTAGTACTTATATTATGATAAAATTAATTTTTTTAATAACAAAACGTTGCTTAACTACCTATATTAAATACCCACTAGACAAATTTATGTTCATGTAACCTCACTGTGTAGTTTCGTAAAAACTTGAAACGTTTACATTAATAGTTCCATTACTGTTATTGGATCGTAACAGGAACACAATATGCCGTGTTTTATTAAACAACAGAAAATCGTATTTGTAGTGTTAAATTTAACATGTAATTTAAACCTTTTTTCGGATCATTCATTAAACGTGTCTAAAAAACCTTTGATGTTTCAAAGTATCATTGCATAATCATTATTTTAACAGTTTCAGGAACGTTTTATGAATAATTATTAAGTAGGTAATTAATATTAACCTGGGGGGGGACGAGGTGGCTGAGCGGTCTGCCGCTTCGGCTGCGGCGCTGGCAGTCGCGGGTTCGATTCTCGGCCACTGGGCGGCATTTTTCTCCGGGCAAGTCAAGGTGTCCGGAAAACAAGTGCCGCCATCCCTGGGCATGGCAGAAACCTACGGGTGCCCCATTCGAAATTTTGCCAAAATACACCCACGTGTAACACTCACCTACCGTTAATAACCTACAGTACAAACCCTCCTCCCAATGGCCTAAGTTGCCGCGAGATAATTAATAAAAAAAAAAAAAATATTAACCTACAGCGGTGCCACGGATGACCTAATTATTTATCTATGACATTATTATATATAATATCATAGCAGTATGGATCATACTAGTATATTTTTTAGAGGGGGAGACCACAGGATACTGCGGGGGATCCAACATTAAAAATTGCATTATGTAGGTGCTTTGATTTCATCTGATTGTAAAATTTAAAAAAGGGGGTGATGGGGGAAATCTAAAATGTACGTACAATATATCTAACGTATTATCTTACTATATTTTAAACACTTTGGCGCCACTGATAAATTATAACAGGCACATTTGATCGTATTTAAGTTTTCCATTATATCCTTTTTGGTTTGTCATATTTATATAATATTATATTATATGTAGCCATGTTTAAATATTAAATATAATACATACATATTATATGATCTAATTTTTAATAATAAAATCCTTCAACAATATTGTATATAAGTATATAAATACATATAACAGTTAAAAATTAATACAACATAAATAGGTTTATAATTATAACAATAAAATTACACAGATGAAAATTTATTTAAAAAAAAAATGTTTTTATTTTCCCATAATATATAGCTGCAGTATTACTATTTTGAACTATTAATGATATGGACATGATAAATTGATGAAAAAAACACAGCTCGGATATAAACACATGTTACACCTATTAACCAAAAAAAAAAAGAATATATATTTAGGTAACTATTTAGATACCTATAAAATTATATAATACATATTATAATATTATAATGCAACATTATTTACATAGTATAATAAATTAATAATTAAGAAATAGAATATTTTATGTTAATATAATTATATTAAACAGTTGATAATAGATAAAAGTATTATACATATACATATTTGTATGTACATAATAATAATAATATATAATATATAGCTAGATCCTGAATTATTATGATTAAATTGAATATCCATAAATCATACCACATATGGCTAGGTAGTAGGTACTATATAAATATTGGTTTTAAACAATTTAAAAATAGCAAAAAAAACAATTTTAAGTTAATGACACAATTGAATAACAATACCCTGATTATCACACAGTTTTACAAAAAAACATTTGTATTTAAATTTGTTTAGTATAATATCGAATGGCTCTGATTTTAGTGAATGGTCAATTAAATAAATGCCTACAATATTTGAAACTATTGGTTGTGTAAATAAGCTTTTTACATTTAAAAACTTTGTAACAGTTAATTTAAATATGTTATTCAAATAACTTCGATGAATTGATTGAATAACAACAACATCATTGTTTTCCAAAATGATATATTGATCTTTTGGCGTGTTAGGACTAAGTACATAATTAGAATCATTTAAAACTATTTGTTTATAGTAAATTAATTTAAAATTTGAAAGTTTTTCGTCAATTTTATATGTTTTAATAGCATAGGTTTGAGTAGCAATATTTTTGTATTTTTCCGGGATATTTATTCTAGATTCCATTATACGATTATAAACCTCAGACAGCGGGAATCGGCCACAGTTCATAAATTTTGTTTAATTGCTGTAAGTAATTTTCATACTTAAACGCACTAAAAGTATCTAAAGGACCATGTATCCTTACAAAATATGGTAAATGTATTAAACTGTGAACATTGTAATTGGAATATTCAGATCCATATAACAGAGCAAACTTGTTAACAAATTTAATAAGCAAATCATAAGCAATCAAATTTAAAGAAATACATTTATCAGATGACAGAATACGAATAGCAACAGACAATAGTAAAAAGTGATTATAATGGGAATTTTTTATAGAACCTTTTAAAACAATCACGCCTGTATATAATAAAATTTCTCTATATTCTGTAGCTTTAAAATGAGGAAGATCGTCTAATGTTCTAGGTAATCTTGCAAACTCTGTGGGTACAACAGTTCTTAATTTAATAAGCTTTTTGTTTAAATAAATTTTATTTTCTTCCGAAATACGCATTGACCTGTCGCCTATTCTACCTTTCATCCAGAACTCTAATAAACGTTTCATAACACCTAAGAAAACGCAGTGCATTGGATCTAAAACAACAACATCAGTAATATTTATTGGGAGTTGTACAATAGGAGAATCAGCATCATCCTTATGGTATTCCTTATTAGTTTTGTTTCTAAATGATTCATTGGTTCGTAAAGGAGCGTTGGTACTTAAAAAACACATTTTAGAGTCTGATGATTTGCCTTTGACCTCACACGAATTGCAACCATAATAACCATTAACATTTTTAACATTTAACAAAAAGCTTTTTGCGGGTGCATCGCACACAATTTGACATAAATCAAAGTTAATTTGTTTATCTTCAATAATTATACCATTTATTAATAGTATTTTTAATTCATCTAAAAAAGGTTTTAAAAACTGATTTAAATCTTTTGGTTTTCCACTGAAACTATTAAATATACCTACAGGGAAAATAGTATTTGAAAGTATTGGAACATTTAAAATTGATAGTAAAATTGGCCAAAATTGTGTTTTGGAACTTTTAGCTAATGGAATCCCATCAATATTAAAACTCAGCTTAAGAGTTATATTATAAGGTAATAACTGAATAATGTTTTCTAAGTGTGGTTTAATTATAAATAAAATACCTAAGTTTAAGTAAGTACCATTTTCTATCTCTATGATTTGGTGATTTTTTGGTGTATTAAGAATGTTTCTGATATCCTGGGTAATATTAATTCCAGCATTTTTAAAAATTTTCAAAACATCATTTGCACAATTTCTGGTTACACCATGGACAATTTTCCAATCACATATGTTTTTTTCAATTTGTTCAATGGAAAATGCAGATGCTGTGCTTGTGCTTGTGCTTGTCTTAATTGGTGATGCACAATGATCAGAAGTCACGAATTGTAGAGCACTTTTGGCAGTTATCAATTCCTAAAAAAAAAAAATATTTTTGAAATAAACTCGTATTATTTGTATTTAAAGCATATTTAGTATCATCAAACGGTGGGCAAATATAATATTATCTTTTAGTTATACCACCACCGGTCCTTATAAATTAATTAATGTAAAACAATTATTGTGTTGTTATCTTAAAAATATTTAAAACCACTTTGGTAGTGTCACAGTATAAAATTTTAAACAGTTATTAATTCTTATTAATTATTTTTATGTTCAATATTTATTTAAGTTTTTTAAGTAATTTATTTTACTAATAGTAACAAAATAACGAATATTGTTAATTTCCGTTAAAACATCTAATTTTGACCATGTTTCAACTTAAAATGACTATAATAAAAACTGT